ATTGTTGATTATAACTGAACATCAACTTCCATTTAATTTGTTTCCATGATAATGTCATCCTCATTTGATGCTTGTAACAAAACATGAGCATTCACGAAACACTTGTCCTTTGACAATAGTACAATCATTCAAAACAACTATTAAAAGTTTTTATTAAGTATTGATTGATCTATACTTGCTCATGAGTTTGACTTCTTGGCCTGCCGAGATATCCTCTGTTTCGCCCAATAAAGAGAAACTTTTCTATTGAATTCTATGGATTGGATCAAAAAGAATTCTTGTAAGAAAAATATGTTGATTATATTCAATTTTGGGACACCAATAATTTTCGTCTATCATGAGTAGAGTTATTTCGATCAATCATTCATAAGATCTCCTTCCGCGGGCATTATTATTTTTGACCTGATATAAGCTAGGCCCAATGAGGTACTTTAGGGAAGCACCATAACTAAGTTCTTTTCCTTATAAAAGGAAGAAAATGAGGTCCAATGTTTTCATGGCCGTTGTTGGTGGCTGCAGAGAGAGAGTTATGGAGCGATCGGCTACAAAAATTAATCGTTTTTTGACTGATCGAATATTTTTTCTTTTACATTAATTAACTCAAAGTGTAATTCAAATTAACTATTATCAATATAATTAAATAATATTGTTTAAAAATTCAAGTCAACTATTATCCATATAATTATTATTATTTTTTTCTTTCTCGCACATATCTATTCCTTATTATGGGTGTCAAAGTCCTATATATCTATGGCCTATGCTCATCAAAATCCCAAACGATTATGTAACCCTAACTTGTATATATATCTTCAAACTCTGATAATATTTATATATATATATATATTCAAAATAAAATCTTGACCAATTAACAATTGAATCTATAAAATCTAATTCGACCCACAAAAAGGTGTTTGATTCATAAGAGACGAAATGTGGGCAACAACACTTTTGCTTGAAATTGTGGATAACTAACTGGGTGGTCCAAATTAAATATCAAATGGAATTTTTTTATCACAAATAAATAAATATTTTTCTCTCTTTATCTATTAATCCGTGTAGTAAACTTGACTTTGTACTAAAGGTGTGGAAAATGTATTTCAAATATTTCTAGAACATATATAGAAAAAATTAAATAATTTTTTTTTTCGAAACGATAGAGATATTGTATAAAAACACATAAATGTGCAAAAGAACAACTAGTGGTTGAATACAAACAGCCAACGACTGAATAGACTGGGAGAACGGTCAAAGGACCGCCTAGAATCGACCCCAACAGAATAATACTCTAAAAATACACAAAAAAACACAATAGACTACAGACAATAAAAGCTCGAATGAGAAAAAATATATTAAAGTGTTTGACAGACTTCACATCAAGAATTCCACAATCCATTCGTATTATATATATAGGTGTTTGATTATTAGTAGACAAAATGAAATAAAATGGTCCTATTATAAAATCACTTATGTAAAAAAAATAAAAAGTTTGCTATAAAGCGCCATTAGGTGATCACTCAATCACCATAGGCATAGGATCTCTTTTGACTTGTGTGACATGTAAAATATAATTTCTTTTAATAAAAATGTGGGATGATACATATCCAATCTCTTGAAAACATTGAAATTTTGAAAGTATGTATATATTTTCACAAACTTTATATGAGGTTCTGCAATCGGGAGTCGACTCGTCATACATTTTAATAAAAAAAATTATATTTATGATTATGCCATAAAATATCACTTTTTTTTTTATTTTTAAAATATAACATTTCAATTTGAAAAGTACGTATATTCTTAAAAAAAATATGAATATATAACGTACTTTACACACATATTCTTAAAATATATATGTATACATACTTATATTTGACACATATAGTGCTAAAATAAACTCTATACGAGATAAATAAATAAACATAAAATATATCTCGAGTCAGTCAGATAGACTTAAATTGACAATCAGATTCCACGTCAGCTAAAGCAATGCCAAATAATGTCTATTCCTTTTTTGTCTAATATCTCAAGTGATAGTCTCCATCCAACTATTTTTAAATTATTTCTTTATTCTTTTCTAAATGAACTCTTCTTATTTTTTTCATTATATTTGTTCCTTTTTTTTTTCCACCACTTGGAATTTGAAGAAATAAAAAGAATAAAATAAACAAATTATGAGAAAGAAAATTTGCTAAATATTCGTTCGACTTAAAAATGGACTGAAAATTTAATTACGTAGACTATGTTTGGTAAAATTAGCTAAAAAGTTAGTCGATAGCTGAAAAGTTAGTTGATAGCTGTTAAACTAGCTTATATAATAAAAGTGTTTGGTAAACTTAGCTGATAAGCTAGCTGAAATAAAATTTTCAACGAGATTTTTTGAAAAACTACCCAACGAAGCGTATGAGATAAACTCGAACTTTAAAAAAAAAAAAAAAAA